AATGGATCTTCAGCCAGTGTGTGTGTGTGTGTGTGTGTGTGTGTGTGTGTGTGTGTGAGAGAGAGAGAGAGAGAGAGTTTTCCATCGATAGGTTAAGCAAGGCACCGGCGAACAGCCCCGCGACTGGCCTCACGGTAGTTCCATCGATAGGATGAGCAAAATCGAATGGATCTCTCGCTAGAGCATCGAAATATACATAACTACACGTGAACATGGAAAGATACATTGGGACACTTGTTTGTGTGCGTGTGTGTGTGTGTGTCTCTGTGTGTGTGTGTGTGTGTGTGTGTGTGTGTGTGTGTGTGTGTGTGGTGTGTGTGTGAGAGAGAGAGAGAGAGAGAGAGAGAGAGAGAGAGAGAGAGAGTTTTCCATCTATAGGTTAACCAAGCCACCAGCCAACAGCCCCGCCGGCGGCCTCCCGTTAGTTCCATCGATAGCATGAGCAAAATGGAATGAATGTTTGCTAGAACATAGAAACATACATTACTACACGTGTGTGTGTGTGTGTGTGTCTTTCTTTCTCTCTCTCTCTCTCTCTCTCTCTCTCTCTCTCTCTCTCTCTCTCTCTCTCTCTCTCTCTCTCTCTTGTGATCGATCGACCGACCATCATCCGATCCGCCTCGCGACCGTCCTTCATCCCGGCCTCATTTGGGCCCATCCTCCTGCTGATTCCATTGTCATCCCGGCTAGTCGCCAGTCCTGTGCGATTCCTCTCATCATCATCCCGTCCCGCCTTCCTGCCGATTTCGTCACTATCCCATACACATACCTATATTGGCGCATGCTGACTGTCTGCCCAATGCATTTTCGTACGGATCCCATAATCAGATCGATTACGGAAAGATAAAAAACGAACACATCCGGCCCTTGCTCCCCATGCCCGCTCTTTGCGATCCTCATCCGTTCCCCCCCCTCCTCCTCCTGGTCCTCCTCCTGGGGCTCCTCCCCCTATTCCCTGTCCTCCTCCTCCCGCTTGTCAACTTCCCAGAGTCACCCCCTCCCGGACACCATCCCCCCAAAGCCCCCCAAAGAAAGTGATCATATGTCTTCCCTCACCTGCCTCGCACATACGCCTGCTGCTGTTTCCTGCTGCTTTTCCTCCCAAAGCCCCCAAAGCTCTTCCTCTTCCCCTTCGTTAGCCACCTACTCCCGCTCGTTATCTTCCCACATTCTCCCCCTCCCAAACACTACTCAAAAAAAAAATGATCACGTGTTTTCCATCACCTGTCTCGCGTATTCGTGTATCCGCATCCTGCCGTTTCCTGCTGCTTTTCCTCCCAAGTCCCCCAAAGCTCTTCCTCTTCCCGTTTGTTAGCCTCCTGCTGTCGTTCGTCATCCTCCCCTCCTCCTCCCGCTCGTCACCCTCCCCTACTCCTTCTGCTCCTCCTGACACTCCGCCTATCGGTGGTCCTCCCATCTCCCTCCTCCCCCTCTCCTTCCCGCTCCTCCTACGCCCTACGCCCGGTCCTTATCCAGCCCCTGCTCCCCCTCCCGCTCCCGCGCTCCTCATCTCTGCCCCTCCTCGTGCCGAGGTCCCGTTTGCATGGATGTCTTGTCATATATTGGCCACAATCTTCATTTTATGTATTATTATATATACAATACAACAGTGTCCTTTCGTCCATTCAAGTAATGCACCTTGTCGCCCCATGTTGAACTACAAATGACTCTCCTCCCCTCCTTACCAATCGCGAACGATTACAAGGCACGGAACGGAATGTGATGGCTGATGGAAAAGACACGGAGAGCACGCAATAACCATACACATCATAAACCTCGTGCAACTGGCAGGCCTGTAAAGCCGCCATTATTACACAGTCTACAACTCATAAGCCTCGAGCAACTGGCAGGCCTGTAAAGCCGCCATTATTACACAGTCCTCTGGGAACTGTAAAAACGTTAAGAAAACGTTTAGAAAACGTTCAGCAAACGTTTAGAAAACGTTTCGGTGAAAAGGCAGGCAAACAACAAGGAACATTTGCATTTGGAATTGCTCATTAATCAACCAGAACCTTCATCGAAACCAGTCGATCGCTCCCCGCTCATGCGAGGCAGGGCGTTAGGAGGAAGGAGAGAAAAAAGTCGTCGACTGGAAGGTTAACCACAGGTACAAAAGCAGAAAGAACCAAGAGATGCCACTGATACTGCCGAGTACATATACGACAAAAGGGAAAGCAAAAGAGAAATCGTGGACGGATCGGAAGTAATCAACGAGGCCAGGAAAGACCGGCAAGGGAAATTGAAGAGGATTTTGGAGAGGATTAGCACACGTATCGCATGTGCCCTTCGCCCAACTGCGTGCCTGCCGCGCGCGGATCAAAAGGACACGGATCGTCTCCATCCTTGTCGTCAACTTGTCGTCCGAGTCCCCATACTTCAGGACTGCTAATTGCTCATATGCGCACTCCCATCGAAGGAAAACGCATGCAGGAGAGCTGCGAGAGAGAGAGAGGGGGATGCACTCTCAAATCCCCTCCACTCTCTTCTTCTCGCTCCAAGGAACCCACTGTCAAAAAAAACTTCTTCCTTCTCACAGCTTAGTAAAACAGAGGATACCCTCTCCCTTGACCGCCATAGCCAGCATTGGTCAAGACGAACAACGACGACAACGATGGAGAAGATCGATGCACCTTATCGCACGGCAAGCAGTACCCTCTCGACATGGAGGGCTCACAGCTTCGTCTGATACCTGCTTATAGGTCAGTACGAAGCAGCAAAAAAACGCAGAAAAAAAAGGGTCACGGTTCAGTGCACCCCTCTGATCCTCCAATCACCCTTGTCACAAATCTCCTGTCTCTCGTCACGGATTTCCTCTCTCTATCCTCTCTCTCTCCTATTACTCTCCTCCTCGCATCCTCCGCTACGCCAGGGACGAATGCAAGGACAAAATAAGGACAGGGAAACCAAAAAAAAGGGGAATAAGAAAGAAACGTTTGCGTGTATACGTGGGCTTATTTTGTACCCTCGCCATCCTAACGACAACCACCTACCTTACAACTACCAAATCAAAGGCTGCCCCAATCTCTCTCTCTCTCTCTCTCTCTCTCTCTCTCTCTCTCTCTCTCTCTCTCTCTCTCTCTCTCTCTC